ATGTGGAGGGGGAAGGTGGAAGGATGAAAAGGACCTGTTTAGATTTCGTAAGGGAAAGGTTTCTTCCCTGTGGTCCAGGGGAAGGAGCCTGGTACAGCCCAGATGCTAACGAGCCTTAGTGATGCTGTCAGGTCCTCTCAGCATCAGTCTGCTGCTCCTAATGCTATTCTGCTGTGGGGGAAAACACTGAATGTGAGAGATTAGAGGAGCCTGAGATGGAGAGAGACAGTGGAGCATCTGTTTGTGTTCTAGACATGTGCTAAGGGGTTTTAACTTTACATTTGTGTGGATCTGCTAGAATGATGTCCCATGAATGCATTTGCCAGTTGGTGTTTCTTGCTGCAGGAGATGTTGCTTTGCTGCCAGGTGAGAGTTCAGTGGGAAGTTAGGTTCTCCAGAAGCCACTGAAAAATTAAAACAAAATTGTGTTTTCAATTTAAAATTCTTTCCAGATTTCTGTTTAGGAGCAGCAGGTGAGGGTGATTCTATTTTTGCCTTTTTTACTGATCTAAGTTTTAGACCTTGCCTCAGTGCTAACAGGTCTGGGCTTGTATTCTTTAGTTACCATTTAACTGAGCCACTTGTATTGCTCTCTGAAGAGAGGTCTTAAGATTAAACAGGATGCAAGATTTACTTTGAGATACCAAGATTTTATTAATGCCATATAGATTCCTATTCTAGGAACAGTCTGAGCTGTGGGCAGCTGACAGAAGTGTTGGGTTTTTTAAGCATTCTCCAGAAAATTTTCTACCAGATGTCAGTGTAAACCTGTATGTTCATTCACTTGCAGCTTATCATTGAGTTTTCTTTGATGCCATTGATCTGAAATGTTTCCCTTTGAACATTATTTCTCAGGTTAATTTCTCTGTATCCATGAATTTGTATCTTCCTAGTAATGCTGATTTTCATCAGCGTTAAGAAAACCAAACAGAAAGCCACCACCAGAAAACTTTGTGCTGCTGCTCTGTATTCAGATGCTTGTTGCAGCGTGCCACCGAGTATTCGGGTTGAGCGTCTGGTACTTACTTGGTTTCTCTCCCTTGTTGCTGATAAAAATCAAATGGTGGCATGGTCACATCGGAGACTGACATGCTGTCGCTTCTGATATGCGTAGCTCTTAGTCTTGGTTCAGTCAAGATGTGTGTGCATGGAGGAGCTTTAGTGTTAGCGCTAAAGGCTAAGGGTAATGTACAAAATGCAGTAAGTGCTTCCTGCAGGTGTGTGCAGTACGTGCTACCAGACCAGCATGCTGGAAACCCTCCTCCCTCGTGTAATTCGGTAGCTGCACAGGTGTAGGAGACCCTGGCCATTGCAACATTGGCATGCTGGAACTGCCATGCAAATAGGAGATCGAATCTGCAAGTAAGTGCTTTCCTGTAAAGAAAGTTGTAATGGCTCCAGGGGCTAAAGCAAAGTCTGAGAGGAGAGTTTTTGCCTGTCTGGGCCTTTTTGGATTACATCTTCAGGATTCTGCCTCTTCATAAAATTTAGCATCTACTTCCATCCACAGAAGTAGCTTTTCCTCTGCGAAGTGCCAGCCTAAGAACTGTTGTCCTTTTAGTCTCCCAGTGACTGCAGTTACTGTAGGCAGGGTGTTGTTTCTATGCTATGTTGGACTGCTGCCATTTTAGAGTAACTTCAGGGACACTGAAAGTTTAGGTTTTGTGTGCTTGGTTTTTGTGAGGTTTTTTTGGTTTTGTTTAAAGGGAGGGATTAATTGGCAACGGTGTATTGAGAGCAGTGTTTTGTCATTTTCTGACCATTGTATTGTGGAACATCTGAAATGAAAGCTGTAATACTTGGACGTGTAACTGTGTTCATTATGAGATGACTAGGATAGCAGTGGCCACATTTTTCAGCTGGGTCATGTTTGTGTCGTCCATTGGGCTTGAAGAAATATTAGTAGGGTGACTAGATGGTATACTAATTACAGTTGCTCTGTTCAGATGCCTAGATCTAGATTTGAATTAAATGACAAAATTCAATCTGAGTGAGGTTCTTCCACCAAACGTACTTGGATTGAAGTAGGGTGTAGAGATGCTGCTCCTTTTCTCACCGCCAGGCCAGCCAGGCGGTGGGAGAGGCTCACAGGGCAGGCTCCCTCCCTGGAGGTCCTCAAGACATGGCTGTATTTTAAAGCCCTGAGCGACCTGCTTGGAGCTGATCCTGCTCTCTGCAGGGGTTGGACTAGAGACCTCCTGAGGCCCCTTCCAACCTGAATTATCCTGTGATCCTGGATTAGGACCTGGTTATGCTAAGCGTTATGCAGAAGGGTGTTAGGCTGTCCGTAATCCCCTGTCCCAAGGTTGTCCTGGCAGCTAAAATTCTTTCTTAAAGTAATACCCACAGAAGTAATTTCAGTTGATGTTAAGCTGTCAGTGCTGGTTTCCTTTATCTGAGACAGATCTGCCTTTTTCTTTTGCAAGCCTTTTCCTGTCATTTTGCTAATCGCTATTTTAGATTCCTAATGTTGATAAGCTTCGACTCAAATTCTCACTAATTGTGAAATAAGACATACAGTAAGTAGATATGGAAATGTGCACGCAGAAAAGAATAAAAGCAAAGGCAGTAGCCAGAGGATGCATTAGTCTTAATATGGCCAAAACTATCTACAGATGCAGCAGAGGTTTCAAAGAGATTCAAGCAGGAATTGTCTTTTGAAGGTGAGCTGGACTAATGAAAGCAAGATGGTTTCTTAAATAATATTGCTGAGTCCTGGCAGTAAAGATTCAGATGGGGTAGCCTGCAGGACGGGTGAGCAGAGACAAGTGAATTATCACATCACTGCAGAAATCTGAAGAATATTGCAATTCTGAAAGAAGGAAACATTTTGGAAGAGACGTTTCATAGAAAACTGAAAAAGGAGAGGGCAAGAAACATCAAGACGTTTAAAATAGTGCTGGGGCTGAATAAGCTTGATGCTTAAAGTTTGTGGAGACCCTAATTCTGAGTTAAATTGCAGTAGGGATCAGAGAGCCGAAACTGAGAACAAGACTGCCAGAAAATCCTAACTTAGTTTTGGAGGTAGCTTTTGGGATTTACCAGACTGCAGAGCATTAATTGCTTCAAATTGCAGAAGGAAAAGGGAGACACAGCCCTCTTAATGATGGGTGATGCCAATTTTGGTGATCTGATGTGCAGAACTGTGATGTCCTTGCATTGTCATTACAGCAAGCTGAGTAAGCAAACTGCAGACCCTTTGGAAAATTGAAAAGCAAAGTGAAATCTCCCAACAAAGAGTGCAAAACGCAGACAAAGTGAATTTATGTGAAAGTTGGCAAATGGAAGGCTAATGCTTAAAACGCTATTCTTCCTTTGGGCAGAGCTGCTGGGTAAGAAATGAAACTGTTTTGCAAAAGCCCATCAAAAAGGACCAGAAGTGCTTTTAAAAAAGCAGTGCGTGTGTAATATTCTGTACAATGAAGAGGGTTTGGGGTTTGTTTTGGTTTTTTTTTTTTTTTTTCTTTTTAAACAGCTCCTAAGGCCCCGTCCAGCTGTTTGTAGTATTGCCTTGAATGTGAGCAGCGCTCGGGTTATGGGTGCATCTGTGGCCAAGCGCAGCACCGGATGTTGCCTAAAGGTTTGAAAGCAAAACCCAGCCCTGTGGCCACAGGCAAAGTGCAGATTAGGGAGAGGTTAAATTGCTCATATTTCTGGGTAGGTATAAAAATAGCACAAGATTGCTTCTCCTTCCCTCTTCAGTCAGGCTAATGGTTCTGGAAAGCAGTGAGCTGCACAGTCTCACCAGCAAAGCCTACGTGACCCTTTGGGGAAGAAGTTGTTTTCCAAAGACACCCGGGTACCTGCACAGCTGGTGTAGGTCAGCGAGTGAATGGAGCGGGGTTCTGCCTCTGGCGGGGCTGCGTGTGCAAGGCTGGCGCTCGGGGCTGAAGCAGCTGGGGTGGGAAGGGGGAAGGATGGGAGGTGCTGGTCCAGAGAAAGAACTGCATGAAGTGCAGAATGGGAATGGAAGAGCTCATTTTCTAGCAAACAGGTAAATAAGCAAATGCTAACGGAGTTGTTTGATGTTAAACATAGCCAAGAAAATCTGGGGCAAGGACGAATCTGGTGCTGTGCATCTAAATGTGTTTAAAAAAAAAAAATCTTTGGATTTGTGTGCCAGTGTTGAAAGACTTTGCGTGTGCTGGGAATGCCTTCTCTCTCCCTAATTTTTGCATTGTTTCCTCTCTGCAAAAGAAGCATTATTAAAACACATGACTGTGAAAATATAGCCTTACCTGGGAAGAAAAAAAAAAGACAATTTGGAAACATGGGAGCTAAATGTTCTGCAAAAGTTTATTTTTGATATACTAAATTTCAAGATGCCTGCAACTGGAAGAAAGTCAAGATTGTCCAAAAGTTTTAAAAAGCTGGAGACTTGAATTCAGGCTTAGGTTTGGCACTGCTAAAATAGCCCCTTTGAAAGTGAAGCTGTTGTCTGCCATGATTCTATATGGGTCTGAGCTTTCTACTGAGCACCTGCTGAGAGTGTTTAAGGAAATTTGTTACTCCTGTAAAAAGGCAAAATGTAATACAATAACAGTTTACATGGGCTGGAGAATTTGCTATTGCAAGAACATATGTCTGTGTGTTGTGTACGGGGGGGAAAAATGTGGGAGCAAATGGCAGGGATGGGTTGGGTTGCTGCTGTGGCACCTGCTGAGAGTGTTTAAGGAAATTTGTTACTCCTGTAAAAAGGCAAAATGTAATACAATAACAGTTTACATGGGCTGGAGAATTTGCTATTGCAAGAACATATGTCTGTGTGTTGTGTACGGGGGGGAAAAAATGTGGGAGCAAATGGCAGGGATGGGTTGGGTTGCTGCTGTGGCAAGTCCTCACGGAAGAGGCACGAACTTCCAAGGGATGTAGGTAGGAGGCATCTTCGCCTCTTTCGCCTCTGCAGAGCAAGGAAGTGCAATACATGCGATGGCTCCGAGTGGGGCGACAGCAGGCTGCCGAGGAGTCTCTGGGCCATTCGGAGCAGTACTGAGACCTATTTACTTGGTCACAAGGTAGATTTTCTAGCAAATGTTGAGACTTACCAGCAAATGGCTGCTGAAGATCTTGCTAGTTCTGCTCCTGTTGGAAGAGGGGAGGTGGGAATCTGGCTTCTCCTGGACCCCTCCATCTGAAATGCAGTCGGTGCCTCCCGAGACAAAGGTCCCTAGCCAGGGAGGGAAGTGCTGGCTCTTTTGGCTTCTCTCTTTCTCCTGGCATTTGAATTGCCAATTAAACTGTCACCCCATCTCTAAAGCCCCAAGGAGAAGAAGAATTGTTGGCCACCACGTAAGAACATTGAGAGAGGAGCGCTGAAGGATGATGCCCGGAGGAGCGAGGTGTTGCAGGACTGGGGAAAGAAAAGGCAAACGCGACTCAGAAGGCACCTCGGAGTGACTGGTGCCTCAGGGAGAATGAGGATGCAGAGCTGGTCCTGAGGTCTGACTAGGAGAAGGTTGTCAGCAGGCTTGACAAAAGCTGTTTGGGTGGAGGGTAATGGTGCGTGAAGGGTGCACTAATTGCAGTTAAAGCCTTCAGTGAGCAGTGGGCTGCTGTTGGGTTTTGAGGGTTGTTCCGAGAAACAGATGCCTTGGCCTGTTCTGGCCAGAGTCTCTTGGGAATGACACAAGGTTGCTATGTATGTGCTGCATGAACTCAACGTTCATGTGCACGGCCTGTGCCTTCGGCTGAGTTTTTGGGGAAGCTTCACAAAGCAGTTTGACTATTTCCACTGGCAATAAAGCTCAGTAATGAGAAAGGGGATGCTGCTCTCAAATTACAAAATATTTATACTTTGTATGAATTGGTGTCATAGTTTTAAGTTGACTAAAGCGGTTTTTCAGTGGTAGCTGCACTTAACTGTATAACAAACATACCTGAAGGGTTTCCTTCTTCCGGTTATAGATGGATGGTGATAGCTCCACGACAGATGCTTCTCAGTTAGGAATTGCTGGAGATTACATTGGTGGCAGTCACTATGTGATACAGCCTCATGATGGTAAGAAATGTTACAGTAAATACTGCTATTCCTGTGTGTATGTGTATATATATCTTATTTCCTTCCAGTTCTTGTATAGTTCTCTGCTATCTTCTCTCAAGCTAAGAATTTGCAATTGTTTGTACTCATAATGCCTCACTGTATAAAGCATTTTTTTCTGCAGTCTGAAGGTGGGGGTTGGATTTTTCAATGTTGACACCGAGTGCTTTGGGGTGATGACAAAAAAATTATGTTCTAGGAAACAATTTGTATTTTGACATGACATTAAGAATGCTAGTGTTCAGTAGCCACATACATTTTCTGTGCATAATATAAAGATGATATTGAACACCTATAAAGGTACCTGGTGTTATACCTATTTTTTTTTAATCATTTCTTCAATTGTAATACACTGGGCTTTCAAAAGTTCTTCATCCTTCAGTGTAAGATCTTAAACTTGACTTACTTATTGCCTGCTATCTATCAAATACAATTTCTGTTAACTTATCTTTATTTCGTTAGACACAGAGGACAGCATGAATGATCACGAAGATACAAATGGCTCAAAAGAGAGTTTTAGAGAACAAGATATATATCTTCCAATTGCAAATGTGGCAAGGATAATGAAAAATGCCATACCCCAAACAGGAAAGGTAATACCCTTGTCTGGTGAAGAAAGCATATTAATGAGTTTTATTCCTTCCTCTGAGTGAACTTGAGCTGGCAGAACAATACATTTTTCCAAATCATTCTGGTTTATTTGAGAACAGCCTAAAAAAAGTCAAAAAATATAAACAAACAAAAAAACCCCAACACCTGAGCAGGAGGTGATTGAAACCAAGTCCATTTTTCTGAAAGCTTTGAGTAACTGCTGTAATTAGAGTATCCACAACAATGCTCTTCAGAGGGCTTTAAAGAGTGTTTCTTTTCCTAAGATGTGTTCTCTGAAATTGTCATAAATGGGTCAGACCTAGTGACAATCCTGTATCAGTAAGAATATTTTCTATGTGATTCTCGCTTATGAAATTTAATCTGCTTTTATTGAGGTGTATAAAATTTGGAGTAAGTGAACAATTTTGGATGAAATAAAAATCCGTTCCTCATCCTGGTTAGTCTTCCATTGTGCGAATCTTTACATGTTCAAATGCCAAAATGACCCAAGAAGTCTGCCTTATACCATGTAGCAGATAAGGCCAGATATTGAAAGACTTATTTTATTTCTTCTAAGAATAGACTTTTTAATCCATTCTACTGAGCTGGTGATTGTATGAGTGTTTGACTATTTTACCTGTTAATCTTAAACCTTTGGAGGGCTCCTATTACTTGCTGTTTCTCTATTGTATTCCACTACAATTCCTGCCCCAGTAATATTTCCTCTAGCTAAAGCAGATTTCTTTTTTTCTTTTTTTTTGAGCTCACTCTAAATAGAAGCAAGACATAATTTACTTGCATCTGCTTGTACTTCCATAGTGTTCAGGGCTTTCTGGAGATCTGGGTGTTAAATTTGTATCTTTGCTGTGAAAATCTCTTCACTGGTCCATATTGTCATAAATTTTGAGTGATCAAGATGAGATTTTTCTCAAGGATTTAGCATATGGGATGTCAAGCTATCTTGAAAAATCAGGGAGGTTTTTGTGAAAAACTGCAGGGGAAGCTGCTGGCTGATGAGTACTCCTGAAAATCTCACCCTATGTGTCTGAAAATATCAGAGGAACTAGTGAAGGTTCTACATACAGTTGCTGCTACTGCTTTTTTTTTTTTTTTATACATATAGGTTGTTCTCATGTGAAGAATAAGAATCTTAATTATTATAATCTTTCAGTTGGCTCCTGTCAGCTTCCCAAATAATCATGAGCAATGCTTTCTGTAAGTCAGGTAAATTACTTTTTGTCCAGCTGAAAACCATAATCAAATTTACTTATTTCATTCTTGCCAGAGGCATATGTTTCTTCATTTGAATTCTCATTTGGAAAATTTATACCAGAATATTAAAGCATTGGAGAGGCTTGCTGCTAGGCATATATTCTAGTCCCTGAGTCTGGTCAGAATAAAAATACTTGTCATTGCCAAATTTGTGGGAATGTACTGCAGTGGAGTTGGAGCTGCTGGGTCTATTAAAAGGAAGATGGAAGTGGGCTATGACATTGTAATGAACAAGTTTAAAGAGAAGGCGTAGGTAAGCAAAGCAAGCAATACTGGGGTCCATCTATACGTAAAAGCTTGGACAGACATCATTATGACTTATTTTGGCAGTTGGCTGTGCTGCTTGAAGTAGTAAAACTTAGGTTAAAATCATGTTGCAGCTGTGCTTACGTAGAGCAGTGATGACATCCAGTGGTTCCCTCACATACAGGTGTTGCCTAAATGGGTGTTACCATCAGGTTTTGGAATGTTTCCTTTATTATCTAGTGTATTCTTTTTTTTTATTTTCTTGCATCTTAATTAATTATTTTATTTTACTCTTTCCTTGCTAGATTGCTAAGGACGCAAAGGAATGTGTGCAAGAGTGTGTAAGTGAATTCATCAGCTTTATAACGTCAGAAGCAAGTGAGAGGTGTCACCAAGAGAAAAGAAAGACCATCAATGGAGAGGATATTCTCTTTGCCATGTCTACCTTGGGGTTTGATAGCTATGTTGAACCTTTGAAGTTATACCTCCAAAAATTCAGAGAGGTTGGTATATACAACAGTATTTCCTCATTTATCTAACCTGGTTGTGTTTATCCTTAGCTCCTGTCGTTGTAATTGTATAATGACTAACTTGTATGGTATCTCACAGCTATTGTCAGGGACTAATGTAATGTTTAAAAGCATTCCAGATGGTATCAAGAGAAAAAGGAGTAAGTAAGCATTTTGATTAGACTTGCTGATTCAAAGCAGTTAAAGCTTTCAACTGAATAAATTCTGTAATATATTGCTGGTAGTAAATCACTCTGTTCTTTAAAGGTGCCTATTAAGAATACTTAATTCGATCTTTGGGTTCAATCAATAAAACTGTACTAGACTGCATCCTCTGAGGAACCAGCCTAATGCCTATTGCTTGTCTGGGCTTCAGATTTGCAGAAGAAAAAGTTGTTTTTCTCATGTTGGAATAATGATTCACATGGAAGGCTATTTGCTTCTACGGGTTTTTTTAATCTGTTTTTTAGCCTTTCCCTCAGTTTGGTTTTGATACATAGTACATGCTAGGTATGTGATCCAAGCAGTTTAATTTATCCCTTCTCTAGTAGAAAGTGACTTTAAAATGACTGAAGAGAATTATGCTTGCTTGCTTCTTTACTTTGGTGTTCTTTTACAGCAGAATACCAGATTTAACCAAACAAATCAAAGGTATTTTTTATCCAGTGACCTCTCTTCCTCATAGTCCTGAATGAAGGTGGTGTTCAGGGTTAAAATAATACTGGGGAAAAAACCTCAAAGCAATTTTTTTTTTTTTTTTTTTTTTTTT